TTCGCGCGCAAGGGGGCTGAGATCGATAACAACGAGACGCTCAACGTTACCTTTAAAACTCAGCAGAAGGCTAAGCTTCAACGATTGCACGCTGCTTGGGCTGATCGCAATCGTCGGCTATCATTGCATGCTGTTATTGGCCCTGGCGGTCAGGAAGCACCTGATAAAGCTTCGGGCGCAGCTATGCTTGCTTCACACTGGGGGAAGGTTCACGAGGCCAAGGAGGTTAGGGGGGAGGAGTGGGAGCACGATCGCCCGTCTGCGCAGGCTGCTTCTAGAGACGTTCGCTGGCAGATCTCCCTCGGCACGCTCAGAGAAATTCTATGAACAATGATCGACGCCGCCCCTGGCCCTGGTGGCATCCCATTCTCTCGCTATCACTACGGAGGAGATGGAGCTAGTCAGATTCTATATGATGTCTATCAGTGTGTTTGGGAGGAGAAGAGCTGCCTGCTGATTTTAATTACTGCTATATGGTTTTCTTGCCTAAGAGCATCCTCCATATTGAAGCTATGGATATTGCGCGCGCGCCCGCTGCTACTCGTCCGCTTTCGCTTTCTGGCGCGTCGAACAAAGTGATCTCGCACGCGATCGACTCGGGCCTTGCATTCCAAGCGCACTACGCAGTAGATTCGGCTCAGGCGGGGTAGGTCAAGGGCAGACAGATGGCTGATAATATTTTGGAGGTCTCGTCGTCTCTGTCGATATGGGGCGATGTAGAGGGCAATCGTGATTGCGGGGCCGCATTGGTAAATTTCAAAACGGCTTGTCCTAGCCTCGCTCACTCCTGGATCTTATGGGTGCTTCTGGTCATGGGCTTGCCTGCGTACATTGTGCATCGCATTCGCGCGCTCTACAAGAATATGTGTACATCGATTGTATATTCTGGGGCTGTCTTAATGGGCTTCACCGTTCTCTCTGGGATTAAGCAGGGCTGCCCGATGTCTGGCTCTATTCACGTTGGCACTTGACCCAGTGGTCCGTCGTGTGCGCGCTCGTCTTCCTCGGCCGTTATCGTTCACTAAGTGTTTCGCAGACGATTTGGCTCATGTGTCGAGGGATCTGTATCGCACTCTTCCTAGCTTTTTCGACTACTGATTTCATGTGGATATGCTACTGGACTTTTGATCAACGCTCTGAAGACATTGATTATCTTTCACTTCCCTCGAGATCGGGATCAGATCTTGGAGCGCTTGAGGTTCGCCGGCCTGAACGCCGCAGACTTGTAGTTCGTGGACATGGGCACATACCTTGGCATTCGCATTGGGCTGAATGGTTTTGCTGACTCTTGGAGGCTGCCGATAGATAATACCGATTGCGATTATCTTTTTGCAGATGCTTGAATGCTGGCTTCACCCAGACAGTGATAAGCTATAATGTATTGGCTATGAGCGTCCTGGCGTACATCGCGCAATTCTTTTCGCCGACTGATGTGGTTCGTCGCTGTCAGCGCGAAGGGCTTCAAGCGGTTATTGGTTGGCCTCGTCATTCTCTGCGTCCTGATTTCTTGTATCGGTTAAAGTAAAGGAACTTGGTTTCCCTGTGCAAGCGTTAGATATTGCTCGGTATGCTGCTGCAGCACAATATCGCCTTGCTCGTCGCTCTGGTGTTTCTCCAAGGCTCATTGATGAATGCCGTGATATTCTTGATGGCAGTAACTGGTTGGTTGATCATGAGTACAATCCGAGATTCACTAACAATATGTTTTATCAAGTACATGATGACTGGAGACGGCTCAACTGTGCACCGCGTGTTCCCGAAGATCCGTGGAGGAAAGACTTTCAGAAACGTGTTCTTGCTCAACTGAGTATGCGCGAGACTCCTGTGTCTTTTTATCTGCAAGCTCGAATGGCGTACTGGATAAAGGATCGCCGCACTGACCGCAACGACGCTACTCTGATGCTTATTCGCATGTGGATGGTCTCCGCGCAGATACCCTGCTTCGTCCTCGCCAGTGTTCTCAAGACTGTGTGTAATGGATGGGCGACTTCCGCTCGATATCGCCAGCCACTTGAAGTTTGTCGGTTCGGATGTAAGGCCAGCTCTTGTGATGCCATCCCTCCCCTACTTCTCTTGCCCGCACTTTGTAAATGCTGTATCACATATTCTGCCATGTATGCTTGCCTCCTATTTCTTCGGTGACCTCAGGAAGCGATTCCTGCCGCATCTCTTTGAAAAGGGAACCTCAGAGGAGCTCAGAAGTATCGTGGTAGGTATTGACCTCGCCCACTCTGTGTATCATAGAATGCGCGCGTGTGAATCTGATTGTCCGGTTCTCTTCCTTCGTCTCTTGCATGCCCGTGCTCGTCTGCTGCTGCGTCGCCGAAGGTGTCTTGTGTTTATTTAATCGCTTCGCTCATTCCGCCGGCCCATATTGTCGCACCGTTGTGGGCTAGCCGAGTTTTGGGGGCCGTTTTGGGGCCTCTTGGGGCCTCTTTTGGGCCTCTTGGGCGCCTCTTGGGGCGTCTTGGGGGCCTCTTGGGGGCCTCTTGGGGCCTTTTTGGGGCCTCCTGGGCGCCTTCTGGGGCGGAGGGCTCGATTTTTCAGTTCTCGGTTCCCCTCTTGAGCCCCTCTTGGGCCCGTCTTGGGGCCTCTTGGTCCGTCTTGGGCGGCACTTGGGCCGTCTTGGGGGCCTCCTGGGCCGTTCCGGGGCCGTCTTGGGAGCCTCGTGGGCCGTCTTGGAGCGGTCTTGGGGGCCTCTTGGGCCGTCTTGGAGCGTCCGGAAGCCGAAAAAGCCAGAACACAAAAAACATCGAAAAAACCAATGAAAATCAACGATTTTGGCCTCTTGGGGCTCTCTTCGGAGGCCTCTTGGAAGGCTCTTGGGGCGTCTTGGAGGCCTCTTGGGCTGTCTTGGGGGCCTTTTGGGCCGTCTTGGGGTCATCTTCGGCGTCTTCGAGCGCTCTTTGGGCGTCTCGGGGGCCTCTTGGGCAGTCTTGGGGGCCTCTTGGGGCACTCTGAGCGCGCTCTGGGGAGCCTGAGAGGCCGCACCCAGAAGGAAAACCATCTCTGAGTAGACTTGGTCGGGCGGTGGTCGGGCGGCGGTCGGGCGGCGGTCGGGCGGCGGTCGGGCGTTGGTCGGGGTACTTTTCGCCGGGGGACCCCCAGGGGCCGCCCCGCGCGCGCGAACTAGAAACACTGTTAATACTGTTAACCAGTTACCGGAGATCTTAGCACGCCCTGGCCCGTTGGGCCGGCGAATTCTGCTGCTGCGTCGCCGAAGGTGTCTTGTGTTTATTTTCTCGAATGCCCCACTTGCGCGCGTTCACTGTCGCTGTCTAGCCGATCGCATCTTGCTTGAGCTCGCCGCTATTGGACGGACGTTCTGCCCTCGTCTCGCTTCTTGTCCGCCCGCCCTCTTCGCGTTTTGCCCTCTTTTCGCCTCTTGCCCGATTGCCCTCGTCTCGTCTCTTGTCTTCAATGTGAGTCCTGATCATCATCATTCTTATCATCCTCATCATCATCATCGTCATCATCATCATCGGTATCATCAGCATCATCGTAGCCGCTTTGGACCGAGCATTTGCTCGTCCTTGCGGTTTGCTGGGCGCGCTTTGCTGCCCCAGGATGATGCGAGCGGATCGGTTGGCGTTTTTGTTCCGCCGGGCCAGAGCGGGCACCGCGATCCACATTGCAGTGTTCCGTTGCGCCGCTGGTTTGGGCAAGGTCGTGAAGATGTTGCTGAAACGCTCCGTGCCTCGCACCTGCATGTTTTCGCGGGTGCTCTTGCTCTCCTCCGTGGATTTGATGGAGGAGCAGGTTGTGCAGCGTGGAGCGGTGGATTGTGGCCACAAGGACGTGATGGCGATTTTGCTTGAGGTGTCTTTTTGGCTCCTGCCTCCTCGGCCTGCCCGCGGTGCCCTGGTGCAGGTGGTTTTCCTGCTGGTCGCCCTGGAAGCGAAGATGACGAACCTGGGCCCGACGATCCTGAGGGAGGCCTTGTCGCCGCCGCGGACGTGAGGACTCTTGGTGCCACGGTTTTGGTCCGTGGTCTGGTGGTTTGCTGGGTGGTGGAGGTCGTGGTTCGGGCCCCTCAAGGTGTGCCGTATGACCCGAAGCGCCCACGACAGCACCGTCACTCTGAGGTCTTACCTTTTGTGTCGTCGTTTCCTCATGTTGATGGGCGGTGCATGCGTGCCTGGATGATGATCGCGTGTTTCCTGAAGGTCGTGGACTACCTGGGGGTTGTACTCTTCTTGCTGGACAAGCTCCCCTTGCTGATTGTAGCGTTCCTGATGTACTTCCTGGCGATCGTGACTTTCATTGCGATCGCCTGTTTCCTGATGGTCATGCCGCCCCTAGTGGTCATGCCGCCTTTTTGTACGTGTGGGCATTATGATGGTCGTAACCTTCACGCTGGCCGAGCTGTTTCGATCGCTGTTCGCCTCTTGCCGCGCCAGCTCGTGCTGTTCTAGATGTTGTGCCAGCTCGCGTTGTTCAAGGTTTGGCTGCGGTTCCCGACGGTGCCCGCGATCATACTGTTTTTTGGCCAGCGTTCTTCTTGGGATTGTTCGCGATTATTGTGTACCCGCTCGTGCTGTTCAAAACCGTTTTTTTCAGGCTGTTGTACCAGCTCGTGTTGTTCTGGCTGCTGTGCGAGCTTCAGCTCGTGCTGTTCCTGATGCTGTTCGCGATTGTGCTGGACGAGCTCGTGTTGTTCAAGGGGTTTACAAACTCGTGCTGTTCATGATCGTCCTGTTCTGGCTGCTGTACAAGCCCGGCCCGTGCTGTTCCATATGCTGTTCGCGACCGTGTTGTACCAGCTACTGATGTCCCAGATGCTGCGCCAGCTCGTGCTGTTCAATATTGTTTTGTTTTGGCTGCTGTTCCAGATGCTGTTCGCGATCATGCCGCAAATGCTCCTGCCGTTCCCGTGGCTGTTCGCGATCATGCTGTACATTCTCGTGTTTTTCCATTTGCTGGGGCTCGGTCTCTTGAGCGGCGCGCTGGCGTTCGTGAAGGCGCTGCTCTTCCCAGCGGTGGTGTTGCCCTAGAGTTTCATGCAGTTCCTCAGGCTGTTCACGAGGCTCCTCTCCCTGGTCTTCGTGCTGCTGACCGTAGCGGCAGGTGTGCTGGTGCCCACGATGACCATCGCTGGCGGGTTCCTCCTGGCGCGGGCGCCCTCGAATATGGACCCCTGGCGCTGGAGTCCCACTTTCCCCGTGGGCCGCACGGCAGTGGTCAATGACGGCAAGGCGAGCCGACAGGTCCACACTGCCGGTGCATCCAGCTTGCTCACGGGCCAATCTCGCTTCGTGGTGGACGGCGTAACCCGACGGCGTGGGGCACGGTTGTCTTCGCGTGCGCTTGCGCGTGGCCTTTGATCAGAGCCCCGGGGGGTGATCGGTTGGTTTCTTCGAATTCTCGGAGGATGTTGAGCACAAGGACTTGCGCGAGGCGCCCTGCACCTGCTAGCGCGTCTCGTTCGTTTTTTGTCGTTCCTGTTTTTGTCGTCTTGTCTTGTCGCTCCGTCGCCGCCCCTGTCGTTTCATGTCCTCCTGCGTTGTGGTTTCTGCGTTCTGGGTCGTCGTTGCTTCTCACTCGGCCTCGTCTTCCTCCTCTTTTCCCTCGTTCCCTCGTCGTCCTCCACGTACTGCAGATGTTTGTTCAAACTCACAATCATCATCAGCATCCTCATCATCCTGGTACAGGGCTTGTCTTTTGCAAGAGAGGTTCCATGACAATTGCGTGCCAGTTTCAGTGGTGAGGGCGAGACGTCAACATATTGTTATTGTCATGTGTTGCGATATCGAATTTTGTCCTTCGACTTCGCCAACCGCTTTTGCATTTCACATGTCCTCACAACCGCACGGCTCATTTCATATCCTCCTTTTCCTTTGTTCGCGCTTCCTTTTGCTCAATGTTCTAACCGATTAGTTTACTGTCGGGCTCATGTTGCGGCGATCTCGTACAGTGGAGCATTTGGTTCGTCACCATCATCCGCATCATCATCATCATCATCATCATCATCATCATCATCATCATCATCATCATCAACATCAACATCAACATCATCATGGGCACCATCACCAACATCACCATTGCAATCGCACTCATCATCACCATCGTTGTCTTCGTCTAACTCATCACAATCGTCATCGTCGATCGCGTCGCCCTAGTCATCATCGCCACTGCCATCACCATGATCAGCAACGTCTTCCTCTCCGTTGTCGTCACCAGCGTCGTTCGCCCGCCAGAGTCATGGATTTGCATCAGCAGGGTCTGCGCGCCACTGCGCCGCTTGAGATTCGCGTCTTGAGTTTTGCCAGCAAGCTGCGGGTGGGAGTTGTTCGGGATTGTTGCCGTTTGGTTCAGCATTTGTTAATTCGTGGTTGCGGTCATCTCCTCCCGCGATACGAACTGCTCGCTATTTTTCTGTCAAAATTGGTGTCCGCGACGGGGTCATTTTCGCTCGTGGAGTTGATAATGTTTTTCCCCCTTTGGGCTGTCGCGGCCGCTATGCCTTCCCTTCCCCCCCTCCAGTCCCCCCTCACATAACCTAGCGCCCCCGCTCCCGCCACCACCAGTTTGTCCCCGGCACGCACTGCCGCAGTGCGGTTGGCATTATCGTCTGTGCTGCCGCGCGCACGCGGCGGGTGGGGGTGCCACGTTCTGCCCCCCCGCGCCCTTACCTCCCCCCAGAACGTTCATTGGCGCCGCGACTAAGAAATGCTCTCTTTTCATCGCGCGCACGATCTGCGTGCGACCCGCCTGCGCCTTGGTCGCCGCCGCCAGCGGCGGGCTCTGTTTCCATGTGGAACGTTTAGCCTCAACATGCCCGCGGCACCAATTCGACCCACATGCGATCGCTCCAGATCCGAACCTGAAGAAATCCGGTCCTTTCCCGTTCACCTACAGTGCTCTTCTTTTTGTTGTTGCTGCTGCTACCCTGAGTGAGGGGCCCCAGGCGGTTCCCATCGGCATGGTGGGCGGCATGGGGCTCGGCAGTGAGGGGCCCCAGGGACCCCGGGCATGGGGCTCGGGGAAGATGCGAACCGTTTCGCTTGTTCCGCTCGCTGCGTTTCTGGACCGTGCATGCCGTCCCCGTGCGGCCATACACCATTTTTGGCCACACAGTGGTTGCACCTGGACCGTGCGGTCGGTCTGGCGGCTATGTCGTCGCCGTCGCCGCCCCGTGGCCGCCCCGTCGCCGCCCGTGCAGTGCTACCCCGTGATACACATTACATTGCATTGCGTTGCAGTGCCCGTATCGCTTCATTGCTGTGCATTGCGGTGCGTTGCTTTGCATTGCAGTGTGTCTCGTTGTTATGCGTTGCTACGCATTGCTTTCCTTTGCGTTACTATCACGTAGCTTGCACAACATATGTTGAACCGTGTTGTTGCAGCAAGTGGATTGCACAACCTATATTGCACCACATAGGGTACACAACATGTATTGTACCACGCAGACTGCACCACATACATTGCGCAACATCTATTGCACCGCATTGATTGTACCACATTGATTGAACACCATATCATCCACCACCTAGGATGCACAACGTAGATTCAACGTTAGCTAACATGTGTTTATTCGTCTTCGTCCTCCTGTCCTTCCTTCCGATGCCCATTGCCCATCCAGACGAAATGAAGTATGATCAGATCAGACGGAAGCGCAGTCAGGATGCAAGGCCCTTGGACGCTCCAACGAAATCCGAAATTGAAAGCACATGGCTAAGTGATAGGACCAGGATGGGCCGAGAGGCAAGGATGCAAATGGTGCCCTTGAACAGTTATTCATCCTTCCGATGCGGCCAAACTGTAGCGCTACATTCGGGCGAAGCCCACACGAAGGCAGACGACATCCAGCTTGTATATGGGTGAAGCGTCTGCGCAGCGATCGGTCTCCTGTGAGGGCAGAGCGGGGCGGACTCCCTCCCCTGCTCTCCCCACCCCCTGCCCTCCATCCAAGACATTCTCGCGTCATGAAACATTCGCGACCGAAGGCCTTCGGCAAGTTTCGGCCTTCGGGCCGCCTCATAGGGCCTGGGAGCGCCCAAAGAGGATTGGGGATGAGAAGCGGGTCACGAAGCAATCGACCAGACAAAGAGAGCCACGTATTCATCAAATCACGACGGGAGACACCCGCCGTCATAGCAGCCCCCCCGCCTTCTTTGAAGGCCGCCCCCCGGGTGCCACCCCTTTGTGCGTGCCGCCAACTCCCCTCTCCCCCTCACCTCGTTGCCCAACCCCTCCACTTCCACCTGCCAACCCCTCCCTGCCCCGCTCCCCCCCCTGCCTTCTCACGGCCTCTTTCCCCCCGAGGACCCTGAGGGGCGTTTCTCTCCAGCGTTGTGCCATGCCTTTCCCGAGGCCGAACCCAGCTCAGACCCCCGACGCCCCGCCCCCTCTCCCAGGTGATGCCTCCAGGGGCGGCCAACCCCGTCTGAGGGAGGCGGGCGCGCGCTCACATGGCAAAGCCGCGCGCTCGATCAGTGCCCTGACTAAGAGGTCTACCCGGGTCGACGCTGGGGCATTGCTCGCGTGCACCTTCAAGAAGCAGAGGATCGGGGGCGTCGAAGAGGCAGGTGAGAAGTAGGCGGGAGTGGATATCATGGCCTGACCAATAACATATCAGACGTCTTGCCCCCTCCCCTCTTCCTTATGATGCTTATGTGTGTGATCAATTATATAGTTATTGTGGAATTCTCTACACCGTGTTATCAGTCTCTACGCCGTGCTACCATTCTCGCTCGTCTCCCTAACAAATTCTTGACGCTTCGCGTGTCCCCACCAGTCCGTAGCCCCACTGGCTCAAGCCGTCTCGGCTCGAGCCCGCCCCTGGACAGGTTCGCGCCGGGCCGGCCTCGCGATGGCCTCGCCCCCCTCGGGCGCCGCCCTGCGGCGGCGGCAGCGCCTGGCCGACGCCGCTCGCGCCGGGCTGCCGCCTGCCGCGGCCGCGGCTGCTCCCGCCGCCGCTGCCGCCGCCGCCTCCACCCAGGAGGCCGGCGCGCGGGAGGCGGCGGCGGACGGCGGAGGCGGCGGCGGCCAGCGGCTAGCCTCGCCGCCGCCGCCGCTGCCTTCCCCCTGGGGGCTGGCGCCTGGGCGGCTGGAGGCGGCCGGCGGCGCCGTTGCCGCCGCAGCCGCCGCCGCCGCCGCGGCCGCCGCCGCCTCCGCTGCCGCCGCCGCTGCCGGCCTCCCGCCGGCGGCGGCGGCGGCGGCCGGCGGCGCCACGACCAGCCCCGCAGCCAGCCCCACAGCCAGCCCCGCGGCCAGCCCCACAGCCAGCCCCGCGGCCAGCCCCGGCGGCGGTTCCGCGCCCGCCGCCGCGGCCGCGGGCCGCGCGCCCGGTGCCGCCGCCGCCGTGGCCCGCGCGGCCGCGCACGGGCCCGCCGCGGCGGGCGCCGCCAAGAGGCAGCCGCGGCCGCCACGGCCGCCCTCGGCGGCCCCCCGCGGCAGCGGCAGCAGCAGCGGCAGCAGCAGCTACAGCAGCAGCAGCAGCAGCAGCAGCAGCAGCAGCAGCGGCAGCGGCAGCGGCAGCAGCAGCAGCAGCTGCGGCAGCCGCGGCAGCAGCAGCCGCAGACCCCCCAAAGCGTGCACAGCAGCAGCAGCAGCTACAGTAGCAGCAGTAGCAGCAGCAACATCACCCCGCAGCTGCAGCAGCAACCACACCCCCCACAGCAGCCACGGCAACCGCCGCAGCACCCACAACCACAGCCGCACCACCAGCAACAGGTGCTGCAGCAGCAGCAACAGCAGCCCCGGCAACAGCAGACCCACCCCGTGGACGAGAGACCCGCGAGACTTCAAACAACCCTCTCTGACGACCAGAAGGAGGCACCCCTGCTCCCTGACAGCCTCCTGGGCACCTCTGGGAGCCAGCGGAACCCACGAGAAGACTCAGAGGTACCCCTGCTCCCTCAGCAGCAGCAGCAGGGCAGAGAAAGGGAGAGGGAGGCCGCGGCGGAGTCGGCGGAGGCTGCGGAGGCCGCGGAGTATCGGGGGCCCGAAGCGGCGGAAGCTTCTGAAGTTGCGGGAGTGGCACGAGCCTTCATCCATGTCTCTGGATTAGAACCGGGCGGGCATGGGTTGGCCCCCGAAAGCGTTGACGGCAGCCGCGACAGTCAGCTAAGCGAGATCCCGGAACAGCAGGGGCTCGCCTGCCGCCCGCGCCCCCCCCGCCCCCCCCCCCCCCCCCCCCCCCCTTCAAAACAATCAGACCGTCAGCAGTCCTCTGGGAGCGCCGCAGACCCAGCAGGGGGGCCACGGACCAACCGCCCAGACGCAGACAGCGAGGCCATCCACTGGCTCGTCGGGAGAAACCCCTTCGCGCCTATTCGCCCCCTTTCCCCTGCCAGTGAACCCGCTCCAATGGGCGGCGAAC